ACTGCATCTCACTGCTATTTTAAACAACATTTCCCTAAAAGCTGAGTGTAGAAAGCCTGATCATACTGGTTTCTCTTGTAAAGTAGCTTTTTCAACCGGTAAGAGAAAGGAGAGGAAGGAAGGATATTCTGATCCTGTACACATTACTGTCATGTTAATAATCAATAGCAGGTAGTCATACAGACAAAGCTTGAGATTGTACTTTACATCATCACCTAAGTGTAAATAAAGAGTGGACAGGAAAGGCAAAATTTAAAAAAAATGTCTAATTCTTTGTACTGCTTCCTCTTATGCAGTTGTTTATTCTTGTTTAACTTCCTTACTTGTGACCTGGAAGATTTAAAAGAGTATACTTCAAGTTTGCAGATGACACCAAACTGGGCGGCAGGGCTGACATTCCTAGGCTTAGAGGGGCCAAGACAGAGAGGTTAGAAGAATGGGCCAATAGGAATCTCATTAAATTTTAATAAAGACAAATGCAGAGTCCTGTACCTGGGAGAGAGGAAGGATGGACTGGCTGGGGAGCAGCTCTGGAGAAAAGGACCTGAGTCCCTGGCAGAGAAGACAGACAACAACAACCTGGGCTTTACTAAAAGGAGAAAAGACTGCCGGCTGAGGGAAGTTATTATCCCCTTTACTTGACATTTATTATACCACATCCAGAATAGTGTTTTTCACCCTGGAATTCAACATCTGGAATTCAATGCCTTAAAGGAATTCTAAGTCTCTAAGTATAGAATTTATCTATTTTAATAACATCATTTTTACCTTTCTTTTTAGGATACAGAGATAACTGCAATTTATGATGTTACGTTTATAGGGTTTCATTATACTTGTATAAGACATTCTCTCACCTTCGCCCCACAGTTTTGTTTGGAGTTAATCTTCCATACATTGACAGAATAATCTGAGCAATTTAATAAGGTAATAGGCAGAAGAATTATTACAGTGTCCGCTTGAATAATAGGTTTTGAACTTGGTTAAGTAAAAGGATACATAGAAGAGCACATTCTTCAAATTGTTCGGCATCCCAACAGAAAATCATGTTTGTCAGACTGAAAACTGGCACAGAAAGCTCCCCTGTTCAAACCCAAATAGTAAAACCACTAAAGGGATATATTTTTGTTTGCACCCAGAACTGTATCTTTTCTTTGACAATATGTGGAATGGTGATTACTATAGCATATTTGTCTTTGATGCACTTAAAAAAAGCTACATGGTACAGAGGTCAATTCTAAGCTCTATTACTTCATTTAAGAAAACTGTAGACAACTCAACAGTATTTTTTATTGTAACAGCATTATACTGTATAAATAGGGAATTTGGTAGGATATCACAGTAATCTTCACCCTAAGACCAAAGTTACTGGAAAAGAAAAAACAAAAAAGGTTATAAAATCAAGAAGTCTTTTTTCTGGAATGGAAGATGACTAGGCCACAAGGTCCACAATTTCCCACTATATTTAGACTACTTGAGCACAATCTAAGTCCATATTTATTTTAAAAGGACTACTAATAGTATCATACTGTTAGTTACTCTAACTTCTATAATGGCAAGCTCCTTTCTGAGGGGAATAGGCCAGCTGTTGGAAAACTTTTCCATTGTTATTATTGATGTCTTTATATAAAAATATTTATTTTTTTGTTTTCAACAGATTTTGTTGCCTACCTTGCAAAGAGAAACGTAAATATTCCTGCACAGTGATAATTCTGTTCCCATATTCCTTAGCCCACAGGTTTCCCTTTCTACTTTGATTCTTCAGAAACAGACAAAAACTCTTTCC